GTTTTTTTTGACCAACCTGAGGAGTTGCTAACACTCTCTTGGAGTAATTTTGGCCAGTCTACCACTTTTGGGTTCCATTTTGGTCTTCCTTTGTTGATAATAGCTCTCCCTGTGGTTTGCTGGATTCCCACAGCCTTAGAAATGTCTTTGTAACTCTCTCCACAACATGAGTGCCAGTCAGAGAGGAGAAACCTAAGCTTCAGAACCGCTGCTTTCTTCTGGGCCAGCGCTTTATCTAACACACAGGGTTCTGGGTCTTATAATAGAAAGTCAGTATTCCTACCGGGGGGGCTGTGAGCCAAATCAGAAGGTCAGATGGAACAAGTCTTCACTTAATATCAGTGTTAGCTTTCAGCTCCATGCCAAGTCCCCCTTGTAGAACCCAGCAATGCCCCGCAGCTACTTGTGGGTGCTTGTTTGTCAGTATGTGAGGTGTCGTTTAGTGACTGACCTGAGATTATGTGCTTATCAGTTAGATTAGCTTCTTTTGCCACTGATCTGACCTGCACGTCTGCTTCGCAGTGCCACAGACCCGCAGCAAACTGCTGGAGGAGCCCGCGTGTGTGAATCTGTGGGATGTTTTGCAGTTGTACCACATTACACTTGCTCTAGTTGTTTAGATCGCAACACATGGGTTATTTCGGGAAGATTAACTTCATGTGACATCTGTGTGGGTATGTTTCCATACGCGCTACGTTTTCAATCGTACGTTTGTAGGCTGCAAACTGTGCTCCCTTTGAACTTTTCCCCTCAATCAAGTCACGGTAACTAATCAAGTGAATGCGGACCTAATCTGTGTTTGTTCATTTGCTTGAAAACATTTTTGTGAGTAAACTACTGCTACTACAAAGTGCTGCACAGATGAAATCAATGAACATTCGAAATATGGAAAAGCCATAAGAAAAAAAAAAGACAATAAAATCAAACACATTTGCTCAAGATTTAGATTAAATGTATGATTAGAGAAGAAAACAAAATGTATCTTTATTCTTTCACAAAATCCACATATTTCAACCGCACACACGTTTCTTTTGAGATTCTAAGTGAATAACTGTGAAGAAGAAGAAAATCCAGATAAATAAGTCCTCAGAAATCACCTAATTACTAAACAAAGTTCACAACATTAGTGCCAGAAAGCCTAACTCTGAACACACAGTGTCCATGGTGATACATGGCAGTGGCAGCATCATGTTGTGGAGATGCTTTCCTTCCACAGGGACAGGAAAACCAGTCTGAGCTGATGGAAACATGGACGAAGCTAAATACGTGGCAACCCTGCAAGAAAACACTGTAGAGGTACCAAGAGGCTATTAAAATGAGTGACTGTAACATGACAAAATATTGCACAGTACTCTGGGTACGATTATGTTTGCGAGACACGCTCTTCAGACGCGGCGCGCAATGAAACAGTTAATCGTGCCGAAGGGTGAGTGATGTCTGGCTGCAAAAGCTGCAGCTTTAAGAGGTTTTTCCTGTAAGACACACATGAGGTTTACATCTCAGTTTCCATCATGTTTGATCCATGACTGCCTGCTGTAATCATGTTATAATCTTGAAATCCTTCCAAATCCCTGGAAATCTGCTCTATGGTCCTGCAAGCACTCTCACACACAACCCGTCCTGGTAGATATGAACCAGCATCTACACTTCTCACCACTTAAATTCCTCCATTTTTGAGCGCTCTCTCGATTTTAGTGTCATGAATATCTGCTCTCACAACAACTTCCTGTTTGAAAAGTTATGTCAATATATGCAGCAATCGTATGTTTATAGGCTGCAACTGTGCTCCCTTTAAATTTTTAATATATAGCGTTGGAAAAAATGAAGAGCTCACTGCACCTTTGAAAACCTGTTATTCCACCAAATATTGATTCCTGAACTCTTCCCGAGTTAGAACATTAGTGTTGTTGTTTCTAAATGAATATGAACTTGTTTTCTTTGCGTTATTTGAGGTCTGAAAGTGCTGCATCTTTTTCGTTATTTTGACCATTTCTCATTTTCTGCAAATAAATACAAAATTTTTGCTTGGAATTTCAGAGACATGTCAGAAATTCATGGAATAAAGAAAAACAATGTTCTTTTTACTCAAACATGTAGGTAGCTGTGAAAAGTAAATTCAGACAAACTGACCACTTTAAATGGTCTCTTAATTTTTCATGAGCTGCATAAATATGCAGATCTTTAAAGAGCAACAGTGTAAAACCACATCCATTCACTCTACACAATGTTGGGTTTTGTTTTTTTGGCTTCGGTTCTTGCAGCTATTAGGTCTGCATGTAAGGAAGAGAAATAGTTCTGAAGCTTCCTGTAGGCTTATATTGAGTTTGCAGTCTGTCACTGAGCAGGCCCTTAGTCACCATGGCACTGCATTACTGTTGCTATGGTTTCCTTATCTGCAGGATGTGGTTCAACCAGACCTGCCATATTTAGTCTGCTTCTCAGCAAGCAAGCCTGCTGCTGCTGGATGCACTTAGCATCCCTTGTTTTTTTCACTGTGAACAATGAAGCGGCTCTGTTGTGTAAATCTTTACTTTTGCACTTCTAGCACAACATTAACATAATTAACATCATGTACAATTACATAGAGGGGAGTGGTAAACCAGAAATTAGACTTCTTTATCTTTGAAATTACAAAATATTGAACAAAATAATGCTGACGAACCTCACTGAGCCTACATTCTTGTTTTGTTTATATAATCCGCTTATAGTTCCAGATACGAGATCTGCAGGATTAAATACTCTGAGATTATTATTGTCTCTCTTTAAGGCTTTATCACAGTTTGGTCTGAACCTGCCAGTCTTCGGTCCTTCACAGATTGGAACAGTCCACATGGAAATCTGACTTTCTTGGTAGAAACATTATCTTATGTGGAATTAAAAAAAATAAAAAAAAATCCCAAACACTTTATATCATATAATGAGACTTTCTTTGTAGTAAAAAAATATACTGAACACAGATTTGAGCAAGAATTACATAACTTTGTAAGAAACCCCTCAAATATCCATCAGTCTGCTTGGGTAGAACCTTGGATATTTATGTGGAATGTTAAAATGTCTCTTTAAGTCTTAATCCATCTTAGAACCGTAAACAGAACACAGTATATTTTTATTTAGACAAGGAAAAGTGAGACTTTAGTAGTTTGTGTTTCTTCCTGTTCAGAGTAAAGGAAAGCACAGACACATTCACAGAAACCAGAGAAGGATTCATCAGAATAACGGATTACTGGGTAAAAACATGATCATAAAAATAAACATCTTTATTTAAAATGTTTGCACAGCCTTGCTGGTTCAACGTCTTAGTGCAGTTCAGGACAAGGTTGGGAATGAAGTTGATCAGCCAAGGAGACTAAAGTCGTACTCGTCAGCCGAGTCCTGCAGCAAGGACAGCGGAGTCCGAGTCCCGAGGGAAAACACTTCAACACTTGGAAAGCAGTGAAGGTTCTGTTAGGATCCTGGAAGCTCATTTAGTGATTTCCTTTGTCCAAAGAGCTTCAGCAGAGACATTAGACATTGCAATAATTAATGGAAAGAGGCGCCTTACTTTATCTTGCTCTAAATCTATACATTATAAACAACTGATTTGAATCTTTGCCTCCTATTTAAATTATTGCTGAACATGGCTTTATGGCAGGAGGGAATAAAATGGAGTACCGGAGAGGAGAAACTGGATAAATAACAACGAAATGAAATTCTTTGCAAAATAAGGAGACCGTCAACTGGTGAATCATGAATCACAGTTTTCAGTTTAAGATCCAACTCTTCAGCGGACGTGGACAGTTTCCAACCCTGACACTAATGATGCACTTACCAAGAAAAATCAATAACGGTTTTCAAAGTTTTAATCATTTCCCTTAACGATGTTCTGGTCGTCTGGAGGCTCTGGGATTTGTACGGCAGCAGTAAACATGCAAGGAATAAATCAAATTCATGAAGTGAGTTCACTTCATGAATTTGTGTGAACTAAATAAGTTTGACACCTCAGACTTAGTGAACCTTCCAAAGGCTTTCAATTTATCTTAAGTCTCAAGTCAGGAGCTTTTTGTTTTTAACTCATTAAAGAAGTCATCAAGTCATTATTTTGTTGTACAGCCATTAAAGTTGTGCAGCTTCACTTTGGGAAGTTTTTAGACCATTAAATGTACACAATACTGATTATAGACAGCTAATAATTTAAACTCTTCTATTTTATCCTTTGCTAATTAGTCCACTGGTTTAATTATGCTCTTTGAACATTTCCATATTTTCTTATATTACAATCTCAAACTAAAACAAGTGGAGCATGACTAAGAAGTGGTTAAATAAATAAACTGGTGCATTACTTTTCACCACACTACATTGCCCCTGTGTGACCTTTTAAGGTCTCCTGATTAGCAAATAAATCACATGTGTGTGTAAATTATTCTTAGCATAAGCGGTTTATTTGTGCTGACCACAAAGTTTTGCTAGAGAACATCAGTGAAGAAAAACATCATAACGACGATCAGGGAGCACAGTGGACAGGTCGGGGATAAATCAGGGTTAGCTTATAGAACAATAAAGATATGAACATCTCACAGAGCACTGGACAATCCAATTTAAAATGAAAGGAGTGCAGGACGGCTAAACCTTTGAAAATGAGGCTGTCCGGCTGGACTAACAGCCAGGGAATAGCAGCATTTATCGCAGAAGCAGGAGGCACAAATTGTAGTGTCTGTGTTTTCAAAGCTGAGCATGCCTCAGAAAACGAACAACGGTACTTACAGCAAATATGTACATAGTACATGTACATACACGGCTATTCAGATTTTATTTTACCTCATAATTATACATGGCTTTGAAGTGGTCCATCACATTCTAATAAAAGATTTTGAAATAATAGGTTATAAAGTGACAAAATGAAAAAAGGGTGGGAATACTTCATTTTGCTATTATTACTTAAAGGCTTGACCGTCTGCAACATGTTTTGTGCCTTGTTATGATGACGCTGGAGAGGTTGAAATAATGTAAGGGCTCAAATGTTGTTTTTTTTAAAAGGAAATGTCATGAGTGGGCTTCTCTAAACATCTTATGTAAGACATGACAAACGAGGAACCCCCTTCTCTTTCATACTTCTGTTTTTTTTTTTCACTCCATTGATTTGCATTAAATGTCTGCAAGCCATTCTAGGAGCTGCTCGGATTTGTTTTCAGTCAAATAAAAACAAAATAATTGAAGGGGGAGCCTTCTTAGACAGGACCCAAATGGCTATAACAAGATCATGCACGTTGTGTTGTGGGTGGGAGTAACTCACGCATGCGTATCAAACCCTCTCCTCCAGCCAGGCGCTAAGTGGAAAACAAAGAGTGAGCAGCGGCTAGGAAATACGGTCAATAGCTTTATTATTATTATTATTATTATTATTATTATTATTATTATTGATGAAAGAGATAGATTTGAAACATTCAACAATCTTTACCGCATGTCGTGTAAAATAGGAGAAGACTTCAAATCTCGAGGCTGTAAGTGAGTGAATCGGCTTTGTTGTTATAGAATCCACAGGTTCTGATCTTTGATTCGTTCTTCTTCTTTTCTTTAGAAGAAAAGACTTTTGTGGACGGATCTGGACTGAGGTGACTGCATTAGTGGGCGAGGAAACTGTTGCATCACTCCAGCTTGCTTTCGCACACCCCGGACCTGCTCATTCCATCCAAGTGCCGGGGATGATGACATTTCCTGTCTCCGTGTAGATGAGGAATTGCGAACCGAGAAGCTGTAAATTCATAGAGGGACTCGTAAAACCGCTAAAAAAAAGAAAAGGAAAGAAAAGAAAAGAAAAATCACTTCCCCGCACTTCTGCAGAGCGTCACTTGACTTGTCGCCTCGCGTCGCTTCTTTCAGCAGGTGGGTTTTCACTCGTGGGGCAGAGGGAAGTTCCCTGCGCTCGGGGCGGCCGAGGAGAGGCGCTGTCTGTGGTCCTGAACTCGCATATCCCACCCAGGAGTTGGCCTTGAAGACAACTTCAAAACAGAGCTGGAGTTGCAGCAGCGGTTGTCCCACCAGCAGCTCCTCATAGGGCTGAATATGCTAACTCTGCACCGAGTTCAGCAGCAAACGTTGCTTCTGTTGTTGTTCGTCGGTAAGTATTGCATCTTGAGGTTGGCTCATACATTGTCTGGTTTAAATTATCAACGTTCAATGCTGTGTGTTTGGCCGTGGCGCATTCACGGTTGTGAACATTGGCGTTTTCCAGAGCTTTCCGTTCGTTTCATAAAATGGGTAAACTGGAGGAAAGAAAGCGATGTTAGGCTGTGTCCTCTTATTTCCTTCTCGTCTCCTTCTCTGTCCTCTTGTTTGTTTCTCTCCGCCCACATAATGTTTTTTTTTTTTTAATAAAATAAAAAAGGATGAGATAAAATCAATGTTGTCACTGTCTGCCCAGGGCAAGACTCTGGTTATATAACAGCAGTGGGCCTAACACAGTCACATAGACATTTTGTGACATTATAAGCAACTAGAAAGCATCCTTTGACAAAAGAAAACATATACAGTTTTATGAATATACAACTGTCTGTTACCTTTATCTTCAGCCTTGAGAGGACACTTAAGTATGAATACAACTAATTTTGACCACTTGACTCTTTTCTTTATTTATGGAAAATAGTCCACTAAAAAAAAAAAAAAAATCATAATTTGAAGTCTGATGTCATTACCGGGCAGAGCAAGACTAACAATGTCTGCTGTACCATTAGTGTTTTTCAGTAGTGCACATTTTTACATACATCTGTTGATAGAAGGCCTAAACAATAGGAGCCACAAACGAGGGAGTGAAGGAGTTTTGTTTCTAGAGCTGCTGGCTGCAGACTCCAAGTCTATGCATTTATAACCACTGCATCATTTGCCTTTTTTACTCAGTTCCCTCTCCACCTTATTCAATTAACTGAAATGCAATTATATTCCAGCCTTTTCCTTCCTCACTTTGCTCACAGTATGATGAAAACCCCTTCAAATGCTTCCCATAGTTTCTGTGATCTTTACCAATATTGCAAAACCAAGAAAACTTAGGAACCACAATATTTTCTTTGTCGATCTTTTATAACACAGAACTGTAAGCTTAAGTTTATGCCTGTGTTTATGTAAAATCAAATACAGAGTGAATACATGTTCAAGATTCATTAAACACTTTCTTGAAAGTCGACAAATTTTACATATGGAAGTATGAGTCAATTGTGGACATGAATGTGTGAAATATTGCTTCTTTTTTTAGTCCACCTGAGCAGGCCAGTATGTGTCGATGTGGCGTCCGACACCGAAGCAGTGCTAGGAAGCTCCATGAAGCTGACATGCATCTCCTGTTTGAAGAGGGAGGAACTCAAACCAAACACAAATGTGAATTGGTATTTCACGTCAAGTGAAAACAACACATATGACAGGATTCATGTATGTTTCCAGAACAGTGTTGTGTACGACCCATGCTTTTGAGTTCTGTGCTTGATCGGTTTAGACTGTAAATGTTAAATTTATTTATTTATTTATTTTTTTACCTAGATTTTTGAAAGTAACAAAGGAGACTCACAAAGCCTGGATGGACCCTTTAAAGACCGTCTGATCTGGAATGGTAGCAAAGACCTGCAAGACGTCTCCCTTTTGATCCTACATGTCACAGAGAGCGACCGTGGTATTTACGAGTGCCACGTTAATCGCACGTTTGAGTTTGGAACCTATACACCATATACAGTGACGAAGAAGAACATCACACTGACCGTGAAAGAGAAAGGTACGGTTGTGTCCATTATTTTGTGTGTAAATACAGCAGAAACCAGATATTCAACTCACTGTGTGAAAAGACACCCATTTTTTTTTGTCTCAGTTAGTGATGTAGCATTACACCGCCATTAAAAAACAAGCAGAAAAAGAACAACCAATCACTCACCCTAGAAGACAGCGTTGCCTATAGCAACCAGGGACAACCATACTTCCTCAGTAAGATGGCAATTTCTTTCACTCCCAGTACCTGACTGAATCACTCTTAAGATACTCTTAAGACTTCTTGGCAATAATTTTTGGGCTAAGATAGAAGCTCCCTGAGGGATCTGAAAATCCTTCTGCATACAGGCTCTGGTGTTTTGCTGAAAGCTGCTAAGCAGTTAAATGTTTTATTTTATTTTATTTTATTTTAGAGCTGCCTGAATCAACACTGCACTGTTTAGATGCAAAACTGCTGGCCTCTGTGCACCTAGCCCTGTCTCTGTGCTCTGCCTCCTCTTCATGTGATTTTAAAATGTTTATCATGCCAGCATGACTTGCTTTGTAATTATAAACCCAACTTTTTGTCTCTGCTAAGTGATGCATTACTGTGAAAGCACTCTGCCACTAACAGTACCTCTTCCCTTTCCCCACTCTTCTCTATGTTGTGACTGGTTTTAAAAAAAAATAATAATAACAACTGTGTTTTGTTTTGTCTGCCTTTATTTTTTTTTCCATTAAAGCTTTCTTCTGTTGTCTGTGAAGGCCTTAATTCAAACCAGCTACTTTGCTATCTGTTTAAAACTGGGTAATGTATTATGCTTCCTGGATGTTTGGCCTGCTGAATGTTTCATCTTCCACCTCAGTCGAATATACAAATCAACGTGTATATTTGGAAGTTCCTAAATCTGTTGCATTTCTTTAGATTTTCATTTTTACTGCCTGCATTTGGTAGAACTTTTAATAAGATGCATATACACGCAGAATGCTGCAGTCAGATTTCTTTCTGCACAAATATCAAAAATCTTCCTTCATATTTCATACAACAGCGGTGTCGAGTTCCAGAAAGCCTTTTCTGCAGCAACCATTATGCAATATGTTCTGATAATGATTTTCATGGTAACAAAGTGGAAACGCTTGCCTTCAGTGGATCTGTGCTTTCTCATCTAATGGATCATATTACAAAAACAGCCAAATCAAGTTGGACAAACACAGTTCTTCTGAGAAGGTTTTCTGGAATTTGGTACAAACAAACAGGTTCACAGTGGCTCAAAAATGTTAAGCTTTTATATACAATTTCCAGACGTCAGTTTGTTGTTCCCAAGACATTTTGGTTCCCAAAGTCCAGTTTCATGTTTAAATCATCTGTTAAGGTTCTCCTCCAAACGAAGTCTAATTGTGATTGATGGTTGACGTTCAGTGCTTCGCAAAAGCATTTCTGCTTCTTTTATATCATTAAAACTGTCAGTGCATCAATGCATTTTATTAGGGTTTGGTGTCATGGACCAACAAAACAATTCACAAACAGTTAAGTAGAAGGAAAGTAATACACAGTTTGCACACTTCCAGCTGAAATATTGAAAGTGTTGTAAATATTTGTTTTATATCTATTCTCAACTTTCCTGCTTGTCAAAAAAAAAAAAAAAAAAAGATAAATGTTCCCATGGGATGATAAGGCTATGCCATGTTTTGCCATGGGAACGCGCTGTTCAAGGTGATGTGTGAGGTTAGTTTTCCATCATCTCCTGTTTGGCTTCAACATGCCTTGTGACAAAACTTTAAACTGGGTGAATGGCGTATTTTCTTCTCGGAAGGCTTTGTTGTTTTTTCCACTTTAGAGATCAGATTTGGATGGTTTATGGCTAATAAAGGCTTCCTGGCAGATTCTCCCACCTGAGCTGTGAATCAGCTTAGAGGATTAGGGCTGAGGAAGCAGGTCAAACTTTTCAGTGTTTTATAAATAATACCAAAAAAAAGTTGAAAACAATTTTTTCTCAGATCAGAATTATGCACAATGTTCTGATGGTCGATTACATGAAAACCCAAAAATACATTGAATTTTGTGGTCATATGTGAAACGGCTTAAGGGGTATAAATACCTTTGCGAAGCACTTCAGGCTCCAATGACTTTTTAATTTCTTATCTTTTACTACAGCTTAGTGAAGAACTTTAGAAAATATAAACAAATAGAATAGTGAAAACACTCTTTCTTATGGATTTAAAGATAATAAATGACAAGAGTAAGCAGAAACTTTCTTCATTTGATGCTATAATTGTTTTCAAACAACAACAAAAAAGAAATGTTTGAGCCAAGAACCACTGTGAGTTTGCACCTCCATTTTATATCATACACAAAGGTACCCTGTGGAGCTTTCACAGTTCAATAGGCAGGTTTGCTCTCTGCCTGCATGTAACTTTGTGAAATCTCTGCAAGGCACCTTTCCTTTCACATTTTTAGATTCTAATATCATCACTCAGTACTTATGCCCATCATATTTACCTGTATATTGTTAGACTTATCTAAAACATAATGCATCCTAAAAGCATGAACTTATAAGAGGAATGTTTTTTTTAACAGTACTTACTGTAATTGGTAATCAGACAGAATGTCATTACTCCTAAATGTAAAAAAAAAAAAAAGTTTTTAGTAGATTAACAGAAAGTGGGATTTTTCATGTTGTTAACAAAATGTATGTTGCATGGAAACCATCATGTTTTGGGTTTTTCGTGTATAGAGACTAATAAAATATATATATTTTTGAATAAACCAAAATGCAAATCAAGACAGAATGCACTGTTCCAGGCTAAGCCATAAAAGTTAAGTGAAAAATTTCAGAGTAAGAAAACATAAACACGGTTTGTTGTGCAACAAAGTTGTGTGTGTGTGTGTGTGTGTGTAGCTCAGCCGTTCAAGGCTGCCAGCCTTTCCTGGTAAGTGTAGATTTCTTCATTGAATATCATCCAATGGTTAGTTTGCAAGTGTTTCTGAAAATGTGCTGATGGCACGAAAATGTGCTGACAAGCAGTCCTCTTCTAGTGCATTCATTTCTGTGGCCATTAGCCTGGAAAACATCTGGAAACTGTTTCCAATAAATTCAGTTTTTTGTTTTTTTTTTCTTTTTTTGGGATTTTGCTGTCAGACCGGGTTGCATTTGGCAGCAGAATATTTAGTGGGAAATTTAGTTTCATCGAGCCGAGTTGCTGCAAAGAACGTCGAGACAGCAGGTTTAGATCATTTTGTCATTATCAGTAGGGGCTAGTGGAATATGAAAACAACCTTTACTATTACCTCCACTTTACTAAATGAATAATTGATGTTTTATGCTCTTCCCACTGCCTCTTTAAAATGACAAACACCTTCATTTCTCAATCACTTTCTAATTAGCACCAAGCTAAAAGATCCAATGTGTAAAATGCTCTATGTTAATAGCAGTGTTAACAAGAAAAGCATAAATAAAAATACAAAACAAGGACTAAACATGAATAGGTAATACTTAAAGTGAACTTTTTATTTAGTCAAATAAGTATCCTGCTGATATCTTGTCCTCTTCGTCATAAACTTTGCGAGATTTTGTGCGAGCCGTGTTCAACGAACTCAGGACATTTCCTCAGAGCTGCAGCAGAGTCTGTTTTGTTATTCTTCACAAAAAATGGTGCAGAAAATGAATGTGTGCTAAATAAAGCATGTGCCTATCTGCTGTTTGTGCTCCGCAGCCTCCAATGACACCACCGCAATCTACTCTGAGATCATGATGTATGTCCTGCTGGTGTTCTTGACCTTGTGGCTGCTGGTGGAAATGGTCTACTGCTACAAGAAGATCTCGAAATCTGATGAGCAAGTGCAGGACACGGCGTGAGTTTCGCATGTTTCCATGCGCTCAGATCAATGCGAGCTGACGAGAAACACTGATGTGTCCTGATGTGCAATCTGCTTAATAGCAAATCAAATTGATCTAATCTGAAAAGGATGTTTTGCACCTGTGGATCCTTGAATCTCGTATTCTTACTCTGTGCTCATATTACAATTCCAGACATCAATGGCTGAGATTTAGCAGGCTGTCAGACAGAGAGCCAGACTGAAAAGGTCAGACTAACAGACAGATATGGGAATAATTGAAAATTGAGTATGTTCCCTGCTCTGGTTTTTAACCCTCTTACATCTTTAATCTGTTTTTATTTATTTTTTCTCCACGGAAGCCAGCCAGACAGACACACCTGAATTATTGCAAGCTCTGCTGACTGTTCGTCTTTGGAGCAACCTTTTAACATCCAAGCTGGATTTTCAGCTCCATCGTAAACTGGCTTTTTGTGTCACCTTGTCTCAAAGCCACCTATGTAGTCAGCTCCCACTGGATTTCCACAACATTGACTCTGCCAGCCTGTGTCTGTTGACAGCTTTTTCTTTCTTCTTTTGAAAATCATGAGTCATATTGAGTCACATTCTGAAAAGTAGCAGATAATACACAGCACCATGGTTGATTCACCATTCTTGCAATGTGAATAGAGTCCTGCAGCTGCAAAATAAAATGCGGTGTGTTCTAAAGATTCCTTATTTCATGGGGGAGGAAATGTGCAATGCAATCGCAGACTCTGTGAAAACGGTGGCAAATATCTTATGTCACTGTTTGTACCTTTGGTTAAATGTCATATAATGTCTACAATTTCCCTGAGGGTAAATCCCAAAGGGATGAATAAAGTTTCTATCTATCTATAGGTTCTTTAAAAAAAAAAAAAAAAAAAAAAAAGTTAAAACCAAAAAGGTTTAGGGCCCCCAAAAAAAAAAAAAAAAAAATTTTTTCTTTTTTTTTCCGA